GACAACTGGCAATGCTGATAAAAACCAAAACAAAAGATGTTAAGAAATCTGTGCCAGTGTGGAGCTGGTGTGCAGATTTGATGGATTCACGTGCAGCATGCATTCTGCATTAGTCTTCCTCCTCTTTCATCAGTTTTTCTCTCTTTGTAAAATAAAAATTGTACGAGAAGAAAGGCTCTATATAATGTAATAATTATTTCTATTTTCTTTCTAGCCCAGTTAACAGAGTTATACTCTAATTAGAGAGGAAAACACCTTCTTTCTCTAAATAGTTATTTAAAAAGTGTTTCCTTCTTGAATTCTTCACTCTTAAGTTCTTCTCTATGATTTTAGGCTGTATGTGTAAACCTGATTGACCCTCCCCCTCCCTATTTATCGCCAGGGACACATATATAGAATAAACACCAATTCCTTCGATCTATACACAGTTTTACTCATGCAGAAATTGAATACATGTTAATAGCTGCTTAATGATTTCTTCTTAATATAGATCGGTTATGCATAAAGTAGGAAGAGCGCATAGAATTATAAAATACATCATTTTCTGCAACAATTTTTTATTAATTTTCAATGTTATTAAGTATAAGGTATTAAAGTAAAAGAAGAAAAGCTTTTTTAGCTATTGTTAAGTGCTCCTTAGTCCGTGTGTATAAATAAACTAGCCTCCTTCTACCCCTTGAAAGGCTAAACAGACTGTCCTAATACTATCATGATATTGATCCTGATATCAAGTGCCTTTGGTTCTGCCCACCAGCTTTACTGTGTTATGTTTGACTGTACACGGAAGTACATGGAAGATGCTCCACCCTTCCTTCTTTGCTTCTGTAGGGGGGAATATTTTCATATGTGACTGTAGTAATAACATTGTGTTTATTGATAAACACTACTTAATAACAAGGAATCGTTTATGGAAAATGCTTGAGACATCTTTGTGTGATTCTTCTTTCTTTTTTCCCCCCATCATAGAACATATTATTTATAGCACAGTGATTAAGAGTACAATTCTGGAGCTAGATTGCCTAATAATTATAGTCTTGTGGTAGAGCTTCAGTAGCTGTTATACATAGATTTCTGAAAACAGTGCCTGACACATACCACACTCTCTGTAAGTGTTAGTGGCCCCTCGTGTCGCCACTGCCTCCGCCTCCTCCACCACCCCCATCACGAGTAATTTCTTGTTGTTTTTATCATATTGCCATTTTAGGGATTCTGCGGTCTCTGTTTCTACAAAATGGAAAGTTTTCCTCTTTTTTTGGGGTATATATTCTGAGCATATTTAAAGGAGTATTTTTCCACGTAGCATGATTCTGAAACAGTCATCTTTATCATTAATAGTCAAGTATGTGTATAACTGATCCAGTTTTTCTCTTAGCTGTTATATTCAAAGCTTTTGTAAATGGTATATTTTAGGTCCTGTGGATAATTGAACTTGGTATAGAATGGGATTTCCACTATATATTTTATAGAAATTGCATAGTAAATACTGAAATGGTGTGGTATGGGACTATTAGGGTGAACAGTTTTCACAGCCTCTATATTGGATTAGTTAAAAGAAGAGAATAATGGCAAGATTAATATGATAGCATTCATACACCCCTTGGTTAGCAACGTGTCTGAACCCAGAGAGCCTTGATCACAAAATCACGATTTTGAGTCACAACCAAAGTGAGGCTATATAAAAGGAGTTTTCAGTAGGATTCAGCTGCTGTCCATCATGATGCTGGGTAAACGGAAAGTGCTTTGCAGACACCCATCCTCCCACACACCACACAGAGCCTCTTTTGGGTTAATGCTCTTGCAGCTGGTTTGCACATATCTGCATCTACTGCAGGTCTTCCTTGCCGACAGCAGCTTGCCCAAAGGAGACAGCTCTAGTGAGCGCTGCCCTTTCTTCACCGTGGAATGGCAATTTCTGCTCTCCAGGAATAGGCATCGTCTTCCTCCCCTCCAACTCAACAGTTTAGACAGCTGGGTAATTGGATAAGAAAGTAGCTTAGGGAGAACTTGTTAATGGGGATTTTACCTGGTTTAGCAGCTTCTGCACCTGAGTATATCAGGAAAAGTCTTTCTGTTTGTTGGTCTGTTTTTTTGTTTTTGTTTTTGCTGGCAAAGAATAATGGATCCCTTTAATAGTTGGACTACATACAAATTATACAAGTGGAATTGTTAACAGTTAACCTCTTAATTTTTTCTTAGATGCTGATGATGAAGGAGAAAGAAGGGTATAATCCTAATTGTGCATGTAAGGGCTGTTTGTATATTAGGTGGGCTCATAAAACAAATCTCTGTTTTCTTGTATGTAAAACTTGGTTCTATGAAATTTTATTTTTTAAAAAGGGTGGCTGTACTGCTCTTTCTTGGTAAAAAAAAGTCTAATCAACAGAATGATCATATCTTTTTTTTTTTTGTATAAGGTTTATATGTCAGCAACTAAGATGACCTGCACAGCTGGTTAAACATGTAAACACCAGGGCACTCCCTTCTGTATGTTATAGAGTACTAGATTTTTAAGTGGCTAAATCTCTTTAGTGGTTGTGAGTTTACCTAAGTATTGATCCATATGAGATTCCAATAGGAGTGTCTGATTAAACTAAAGGAAACTAATGCTTTTCATATGTGATCGTCTTTTCTCTCACAGTATGCTTTGGACTTTATTGGCATAGAAAAGACTGGAGCCAATTTCAGTGGTTCACCTCTAGGATTCTTCCTTTGTTAAAGAGTGAAAATCCAAGCCTTACAGTACTCATGGTTCCCTATTCTGAGTTTACTGAATCCTTTCGCTTAGCTTATTTGCTCTGCTGTGGAATTCTCATGGACTGTAGAGAGGGACCTTTTTTTCTTCCCCTTGGAAGGGTCTGATTGATGCAGGAATTATTTGAAGGTTGGATTTAGGTTCTTTTGTAGTTCTTTTCTTGGCAGAAGTTTATGTGTATGCCTAAATACAGTTTATAGAAGTCCAAGCTTATGTATTATTTACTGACTAATAAACCAATATTTATTATAGACCTGATGTGTGCCAGATATGAAGATACAAAGCTGGGGTAGAGGAGTAAGATCCATTTGTGGAGATGTGTAGAGAATGAGTAATAACAATGTGGTTGGAGATTCGTGTTGTAATGTATAGATGGATGGAAGATTGGAGACAAATGTATAGATAGAGAAAAGAATGGGAGGTGTGTATATGTATGTATATAGGTCAATACTTTGTTCATGTGTGATGGCATACAGACTGTGGCCATCTTATTGTCACGGAGGTAAGAGCAAGAAAGTCGTCCCAAAGCAGATAACGTTTATGTTGCTTTTTGAAAGCCATGTGAAATAAACCAGCTAGTTCAAGAGTAGATGATGATATTATATTCTCCTGCTTCATTTTTCTCCATAGGACTTATCACCATCCTACATACTATGTTCATTTCATTCGTTCATTCCTTGTCTACCATATTAGGATTAAGCTCTTTGAGGGTAGGGATTTTTGTCTGTTTGGATTAATTCTGTATCCTCAACACCTAGAAAACTGCCTAGCACGTAGCTGAATGAAAGAATGAAGTTTGTGAGTTTCAGAATAGTTGTCTTACTTATTTTCCTTTTGCTTATTAAGAATATCTCTCTACAGTTCCTCCATATTTTTGCTTACTATTTTTCATTGTGTGTACGGGAGTCTCCCTAGTGATAATATGCTGTTTCCACACTGTTTCACAAACCCATCCCCTATTTTCCATCTCTCTTAGCTCATTTAGTTTCCAAACTCTCTTACCTGAATTGATACGATCTCCTAGCTGTTTCCATGTCTCTACGTAACTCCCCATAGATACTGAATATCTTCTCCACAGCTGTCAGAATTATCAGTCTGAAATACAGAACTGACCGGACCATTTCTTTGCTTAAAAGTCCCTGATAGTTCCCATCTGTCTAGAGTAAAATGTGTGCTCGTTAGGATGGCATGGAAGGCCATCCATAGCTTGGATTCAGCTACATAAAGTCCCCTTCCCATCTTACAATGAAAATGGGTCTGTTCATTTTCTTTTGTGTCACTAGTGCCTGGCCTATAATAGAGAATTCACCAATAGTTTTTTGAGTAAATGAATGCGTACTAGTGTATATAAAGGAATGAATAACTATGATAATAAATTTCATTGAAAATGCTTGCTGTTCAAATAAAAGATGATATAAAAACCTAACTTGAACACTAGCATTTAAGAACAGTTTTTCCTTTTTACAGCTGATTTGTTTTTCTTAGCGTACAGCTGTTCAATTTGCTGTCCTCCCTCAGCATTTTTTAAAGGAATCTCTCTGGGCATTTGCACTGTTGGTTTGGAAGTAATCCAGTTTCTCATGGCTTTCCTCTCTGTAGGTCTTAAGACCCTTTATCCCCATCCCTATATGTTGGGTCTTTTCTCCCTAGCTACTTTCCTTATTTCTTTATAGAGATTTATGACTCTGCATGTATGACCATACCCATGTGTATGTCTTTTCTTTCTTCTGGCTATAAATTCTCAGTTTAAAGCTTTGCATGGGGCTTCCCTGGTGGCGCAGTGGTTGAGAATCTGCCTGCCAATGCAGACAACACAGGTTCGAGCCCTGGTCTGGGAAAATCCCACATGCCATGGAGCAACTGGGCCCGTGAGCCACAATTACTGAGCCTGCGCGTCTGGAGCCTGTGCTCCGCAACAACAGAGGCCGCGATAGTGAGAGGCCTGCGCACCGCGATGAAGAGTGACCCCCACTTGCCACAACTAGAGAAAGCCCATGCACAGAAATGAAGACCCAACACAGCCATAAATAAATAAATAAATACATTGTGTATTATTTATAAAAAAAAAAAAAAAAAAAAAAAAAAAAAGCTTTGCATGAAGTTCTAAGACCCTTAGGGTTGAATTATTTCTACAGAGCACACACTGACAACCCTGATCTACCTGTTTCCAACTTAAAATGATTTTTATTGTGACTGTATTTCTCTTAATTTCCTTCCCCCCCCCCTTAAATGTGTGTGCACAACTCAGATTGAAAATCTCCAAGAGCAACTTAGAGATAAGGAAAAGCAGATGAGCAGCTTGAAGGAGCGAGTCAAATCCTTGCAGGCTGACACCACCAACACTGACACCGCCTTGACTACTTTGGAGGAGGCCCTTGCCGAGAAGGTGGGTGACTGGCCCAGAATCCTCACAGACACATTTCTTCTGCTTTCTCATTAATCTGAAAGTCACTTTAGTGATGAGACTTGATAGAGAAGACAGAAGAAGTCGCTTTGGCAAAAGGGAAAAGAGCTGCCTGTGCTGTTGCTGATGTACCCAGTGTCAGGGAAAGAAGATGCGTTTTGTTGTTGCCAATTGAAGCATCTGTTGCTAGGCAGGATGGATTCCGTACTGGAGGGCAGTGGCTGAAGTGTCTAAAGAATCAGCCATGTGCTCCCTGTTTACTATCTTCTTTTTATGTGTATGGTCAGCAAGAATTCGGTGATGTGGGAATGTCAGACACTGACCATCAGGAGGCAACATTAGTTCTCTTTTACTGTGCTGCATTGGGATCTAATATATTCGTGGGTTTTAGTTATTAATACAGTGTACTTGCTGTTTCTCTAGTTGTGGCCTTGCCACTTCATTTTGCCTTCATGAGCAAACCTAGTTTTTTTCAGGAATGGTTGACTAAATAAAGAAGTGGCCCAACATGACAAGTGTTAGTGTCTTGGAGGAGGTTTAAGGACTCTTGGTGGGGCATTTTAATTGGATTCTTCTCCTTCTTATTATTTTTTCTTTAGGGAATAGGGTTACTGTTCCTTAAGCCTCTTGGACTCAGAATGTTTCAGGCTTCCTGCCCAGTGATCAAGGCTTGATCCCCGAATATATTCAGAAATAATACGCATAAATACACTTAAATTGCTTCAACTTTCAAACTTCCTGAGTATCTGTTGACAGAAGTTTTAATGGTTTCTCTTTTCTTTATCCTTCTTTATGCTTTAAGCTCAACAAATCATAATCTCTCCAACCTTCTCCGTTTTGCTGTGTGAGTTGTGAGTTGTTTCCATTGCTTTGTAGGCAACATGTGAATTATATATAGAAAAGAAATATTTGCTACTTATTGTCCTTAGGGTATATGTATAAGTTTTTTGTTGCTTGGGATTTGAATAAATGAGATTATTCCAAAAGAATACTTTAGGGACATCTAATACTAATTAAGGTTATAGGAAAAGAAACCTAGGGGAGTCTAAAGAACAAAACCAGATGTATGTTAGGGCAAGATAGGTTGGGAGGTTGAATTCTTTAAAAGGTAAATTATTAACAACCTTTCACTGTCTTTTGAATGGAGGATGGAAGTGTGAAATTTTATCAGCTAGAAGCTGAATTGCAGTCATATGATAGAAGTATGAAAGGAATTTTCTCATGTATTGATGTGCTCTCTTATCAGGAGCGGACAATCGAACGCTTAAAGGACCAGCGGGACCGAGATGAGCGAGAAAAGCAGGAGGAAATTGATAACTACAAAAAAGATCTTAAAGACCTGAAAGAAAAAGTCAGCCTATTGCAAGGCGACCTCTCAGAGAAAGAGGTCAAGATCACCAAAATGGAATTATTTGGTTTGCTTAGCCAGTGCATTGTGTGTATATGTTGTTGGTGTTTCCATAATGCATATAAAAAAAGAATCTGTTGGAAGATTTAAAGAATCTTCTTATAGCAGGGATTATTTCAGGAAGCTTTGCAGAGATATAGTAGTTTAAATCATTTATTTCCTAAGTCTTAACCTCTTACCTCTTCCAACTGTTATGAGTTGGCTTCTTACTTGTTAATGACATTTTACAGATCCTCAAATAACAGTATTTCTCCAGTTACATTTGGAGAAATATTGTGCTAACGGTGAGGAAGCTGATAGACAAATGGAATATGCACAAGGAGGACAGTCTGTTTACATCAGCTCTTAACGATCACCTTAACATTGGGAGAGAAATCTTAAATGATTGTTGACCAATTAGGTGACTTAATATACTTTGATTTTACTTTTGAAGAATCTTGTCGATGTCACCTAAATAGCAAAAATGCCTAATGCCTTGTGATCAGATAATCATGAGCTTTAGGGACATTCTCAGGGTTTTCTTTCTAATATCTTTAGGAAAATTTATGGGAATTTAAGTTTCTAATAGAATGTTTCTTCCAAAATTAGAAGAGAAGAAAAAAGTCAGTGTAGCTACTAAGGTTGACTGCCTACATTCACAAAGCTTGATCTACTTCCATTTATTTTGTGGGAACGGATATGTATTGGTAGAGCTCTTTAAATCACTATTCAGTTGGTATTTCTTGGGAATTCATTTTGTTTTAGTTAGGACTTGAAAGCCAGAGCTAATGTTTCTGTTCTGTATTTCATGTTCTTGAAATGGAAATATGTCAGTATATGCTAATGGAAAGAAACGACAAACCACCAGGAAAATAAATTTAAGAATTTAAATCTCCATTTTGTTCATAAATAGTATTTATTCTAGATGTATGTTGCTTCTTTTAGGCTTCACTCTTGGATCTGAAAGAGCATGCTTCTTCCCTGGCTTCCGCAGGACTGAAAAAGGACTCACGGCTTAAGACACTAGAAATTGCTTTGGAGCAGAAGAAGGAAGAGTGTCTGAAGATGGACTCGCAGTTGAAAAAGGTTAAAGAAAACTTTTCCAGTTTCTTGCTTTGCTTTATTTATTTATTTAAAGTTTCTGCTTTATAACAAAGTGAATCAGCTGTACATATACATATATCCCCATATCCCCTCCCTCTTGCATCTTCCTCCCACCCTCCCTATCCCACCCCTCTAGGGGGTCACAAAGCACCGAGGTGATCTCCCTGTGCTATGTGGCTGCTTCCCACTAGCTATCTGTTTTATGTTTGGTAGTGTGTATATGTCCGTGCCACTCTCTCACTTTGTCCCAGCTTACCCTTCCCCCTCCCCGTGTCCTCAAGTCCATTCTCTACATCCGTGTCTTTATTCCTGTCTTGCCCCTAGGTTCTTCATAACCTTTTTTTTTTTTTTTTTTTAGATTGCATATATATGTGTTAGAGTACGGTATTTGTTTTTCTCTTTCTGACTTACTTCACTCTGTATGACAGACTCTAGGTCCATCCACCTCACTACAAATAACTCAATTTCGTTCCTTTTTATGGCTGAGTAATATTCCGTTGTATACATGTGCAACATCTTCTTTATCCATTCATCTGTTGATGGACACTTAGGTTGCCTCCATGTCCTGGCTATTGTAAATAGAGCTGCAATGAACATTGTGGTACATGACTCTTTTGGAATTATGGTTTTCTCAGGGTATATGCCCAGTAGTGAGATTGCTGGGTTATATAGTAGTTCTATTTTTAGTTTTTTAAGGAACCTCCGTACTGTTCTCCATAGTGGTTGTATCGATTTACATTCCCACCAACAGTGCAAGAGGGTACCCTTTTTCTCCACACCATCTCCAGCATTTATTGTTTGTAGATTTTTTGATGATGGCCCTTCTGACCAGTGTGACGTGATACCTCATTGTAGTCTGGAATTGCATTTCTCTAATGATTAGTGATGTTGAGCATCCTTTCATGTGTTTGTTGGCAATCTGTATATCTTCTTTGGAGAAATGTCTATTTAGGTCTTCTGCCCATTTTTGGATTGGGTTGTTTGTTTTTTTGATATTGAGCTGCATGAGCTGCTTGTATATTTTGGAGATTAATCCTTTGTCAGTTGCTTCATTTGCAAATATTTTCTCCCATTCTGAGGGTTGTCTTTTCGTCTTGTTTATGGTTTCCCTTGCTGTGCAAAAGCTTCTAAGTTTCTAGGTCCCAGTTGTTTATTTTTGTTTTTATTTCCATTTCTCTAGGAGGTGGGTCAGAAAGGATTGCTGTGATTTATGTCATAGAGTGTTCTGCCTCTGTTTTCCTCTAAGAGTTTTATAGTGTCTGGCCTTACATTTAGGTCTTGAACCCATTTTGAGTTTATTTTTGTGTATGGTGTTAGGGAGTGTGCTAATTTCATTCTTTTACATGTAGCTGTCCAGTTTTCCCAGCACCACTTATTGAAGAGGCTGTCTTTTCTCCACTGTATGTTCTTGCCTCCTTTGTCAAGAATAAGGTGACCATATGTGCGTGGGTTTATCTCTGGGCTTTTTATCCTGTTCCATTGATCTGTATTTCTGTTTTTGTGCCAGTACCATACTGTCTTGATTACTGTTCTTTCTTTGCTTTAAAAAACAGCATAGTAGAAAACTCTATAGTGTCCATATGGAATAACTTACCAGTGGAGTAATAATCTAAAATTCAAAATACCATTTATCCCTTGATTAATTCTCTTGGCGTTCTTGTCCGATTTTACTCTACTCCTGAGAGTCCCCGAACTCTTAGAAAATTGGCAATTCAGAGTAAGATTAAAATATGCAGCTCCTTTATAGATGAAATGTAAGACAATAATGTAAAAATCTCAATTATCTGATATTTTTCTTCTATTAGCATTAGGCTTCCTGGAAAGAGATAATTTAACAGTGATAGTCACCCATACCAGTGAATATTAGAACTTGGTACAGGTATTTACTATCCATTTCATTGATTTATACCTCTCTAATATTTATATGGCAGTTGGTAGTTTTCAAAGCACTTTCATACTTACTATCTCTGAGTTACCAACTCTGAGTAACTGGGTCCAGTTCATGTGGTTACTGATGAAAAGGGGGCCCAGCCTAATCTTGAGACTTGGTGCTGTTCTTTTTCCATACATTGGGTGTGTTCAGCGTGAACACCTCGTGATGAATCATTATTTAGGGTATGCCAGCAATGAAGTCATATTCTTAAGCTAAGGAAAGGAAGAAAATCCCGTAGCTTAAAGTTACTTTTGAATAAGTAGGAAAATACTTTTTTTGAGATTAACTAATTCAGATTTGGTAATTGACTTTTTTCCCCCGCACTAAATAAGTGGAAGTAATTTTCTATTTAATACTGGAATATTGAAGATAAGACTGTTAGATGTATTTAGGGTTATGAAACTGAGCAGTAACTGTCAGGAGTAATAAATGTTATTCACTAATATTCCAGACTCGCCTATTTATGACAATCCCACATTTTCTTTTTGTTTATTTTATTTTATTTTATTTTTTTGCGGTACGCGGACCTCTCACTGTTGTGGCCTCTCCCGTTGCGGAGCACAGGCTCCGGACGCGCAGGCTCAGCGGCCATGGCTCACGGGCCCAGCCGCTCCGTGGCATGTGGGATCTTCCCGGACCGGGGCACGAACCCGCGTCCCCTGCATCGGCAGGCGGACTCTCAACCACTGTGCCACCAGGGAAGCCCCTCTTTGTTTATTTTTAATCTCCTTGTTATCATGATACTTCTATAGCTGGTCATTTTTATGATCTCTTAAACTTTGTGTTTAGGTTCATGAGAAAAAATAAAGTTACCTTTGGGTAGAGGATTTGGTGGCTTCCCCCTACTCTGATTTATTACTTGTTTTTCTACTAATCGCCATTTTACTTTTCGTATTTTCCCTTCTTTCATTCTGGAAGACTGTAACTTTTCATTTTAATTAATTAGTGATGTTTTCCTATTATACTCCTCCCACAGTGCCCTCCTCCAACCTAAATATAGGTTGCTCTAGAGTTTGCAATATACATTTTCACTCTTTTCTTTTTCCTCAGCTTTTTCAATGCCAGAAATTGTATATATTTAAGGTGTGCAACATGATGCTTTAATCTATATATGCATTGTGAAATGGTTACCACAATCAAGCTAATTAACACATTCATCAACCTTAAATGGTTACCTTTTTTCGTGTGTGTGGTGAGAACACTTTTTAAAAATTGTAGTATAATTGACATATAACATTTTATTAGTTTCTGGTGTACAACATAGCCAACTCAATATTTGTATATATTGCAGAATCATCACCACAGTAAATCTATTAAACATCCATCAATATACATAGTTATAATTTTTTTTTCTTGTGATGAAAACATTTTTTTGTGTGTGGTATGCGGGCCTCTCACTGTTGTGGCCTCTCCCGTTGCGGAGCACAGGCTCTGGACGCACAGTCTCAGCAGCCATGGCTCACGGGCCCAGCCGCTCCGCGGTGTGTGGGATCCTCCTGGACCGGGGCACGAACGCGTGTGCCCTGCATCGGCAGGCGGACTCTCAACCACTGTGCCACCAGGGAAGCCCGTGAGAACTTTTAAGATTTATTCTCTTAGCAACTTTCACATATGCAGCACGTATTTATAGTCACCATGCTGTACATCACATCCCCAGGACTTACTGTTTTGTAACTGGAAATGTGTACCTTCTGGTCACCTTCACCCATGTCGCCCACCTCTGACTCCCCACTTCTGGCAGGCTACCGGTCTTTTCTCCGTATCTATGAGCTTGGTCTTTTTGTTTCTGTTTTAGATTCCACATATAAGTGCAATCATAATGATATTTATCTACTCTGTCTGACTTATCTCACTTAGCATGTTCTCAAGGTTCATCCATATTGCGGCAAATGAAAAGACTTTCCCCCTTTTTTATGGCTGAGTAATATTCCTATGTGTGTATACATACATACATATGTACATACCACATTTTCTTATCCATTCATCCACTGATGGACACTTAGGTTGTTGACAACACTTTTTAAGATGTATTCTCTTAGCAAATTTCAAGTATGCAACGCAACAATGTTAACATTGTCAATATCCTATACGTTAGATCCCTAGGACTTATTCTTCTTATAACTGAAAGTTTGTACACTTTGACCAACATCTTCCCATTTCCCCCACCCCCAGCCCCTGGCAACCACCCTTCTACGCTCTGCTTTTATGAGTTCATCGTTTTTAGATTCCACATTATAAGCAAGATCTTACATGTTTTTAATATGTGGCATTTCCTTCTCATTCTTCCTTGGAGTGTCCATTTCTCTGCTTACATTGCCTCTCTATTCTTGGGTGTTGTCTCCTTTCCCCCTTAGCGCCTTTAACTATTTTTTTTAATATTTTATTTATTTATTTATTTGGCTGCGTTGAGTCTTAGTTGTGGTACGTGGGATCTTCATTGTGATGCGTGGGCTCTCCAGTTGTGGTGCATGGGCTCCAGAGCACATGGGCTCTGTCATTTGTGGCACGCAGGCTCTCTAGTTGAGGTGCGGAGGCTCAGTAGTTGCGGCGCGTGGACTTAGTTGCCCTGTGGCATGTGGGATCTTAGTTCCCTGACCAGGGATCAAACCCATGTCCCCTGCACTGGAAGGCAGATTCTTAACCACTGGACCACCAGGGAAGTCCTGTGCCTTTAGCTATTTATCATAGTTACTTTAAATTCCCTGTCTGATAATTCCAACATCTGTGTCAAATATATGAGTCTTATTTTTTACTAGCAGGGGCTAGAGTGGGAGAAATGCCCTTTCCCCAGGTGGGATAAAGCTCTGTTAAAATTTTTACTCCTGAGGGTCTGTCTTTGGATAGAGTACGCTTTGGGCATATTTCACAATTGTTACTCTTCCCCTCCTGCAGCCAGAACCACAAGGGGATTTTTGTTGGCTCTTCACTGTGAGACCTTGGTGTGGTTCCTGGATTAAAGCGCATGAAAGTATGGGCCCCCCTAAAACCGCCGGCCCTGGGACTTTTCTCACTCGTTTGCTTGTACGTCCACACTCAGCCCCCAGCAGTTCCTTAAAATTACCACTTAAGTGTTTCTGCTCACAGCTGCTGCTCCAGCTGAGCAGATCTCAGCTTCAACTCTGTGGGTTTGCCAGTGTCTCTTGATGTTAGAGGGGTAATTTTTCCTGTGACCTCAGTTCTCTGATAGGTCCTAGAAAAGTCATTGATTTTCTGTTTTTCAACTTTTTCTTGTAAGAATGGTAGTGATGACTTCTGAGTTTTTTACATGTTGGAACTGAAGTTACAGTAGTTTCCCGTATGGAACAGGCCTACTCATTCTTGTTTTATGAAGGTATTTGTATGAATTTTGCTATTTAGAATAAAATCTAAAATAATAATATAATAAAAACAATTTATTAATTATATTTGGGAATCAGCTTTAGTTTTATTCATTAACACATAACTGTTTATGGAATCAATGTTACCTATGCCCAGGAATTTGAAAGTAGGTCACAGAGACCTTAATTAACAATATACCTGTCTTATACAGCATTTTTCGTTCTGCTAGATGTTGAATGTATTTGACTGTTTTATCATGTCTGTTTCTAAATCAGGGCAGTGAAATAAGTCAGACAGAGAAAGACAAATACTGTATGATCTCACTTATATGTGGAATGTAAAAACCAAAAACCAACCAAAAACTGAACTCATAGATACAGAGACCAGATGGGTAGTTGTCAGAAATGGAGGGCTATATGTGTGTGTGTGTGTATAATGGGTGGAGGTGGTCAAAAGGTACAAACTTCCAGTTATAAAAAAAAAAAAAAGTAACTGTGTAGTGATATTTTGTCTATGTAATATTTAAGCAGAGAAGAACCTTATAAATTGAAGACTAGCTATTAGATGTTTGATAATACCCTGTTGAAATTGGAGTATAGGTGGCTTTTGGGAACATGGTTTGCCCACTGCCACTGTACGTATATCTGATAGAATTTGGACATTTTCTTTGTAGGCACACGAGGCAGCATTGGAAGCCAGAGCCAGTCCAGAGATGAGTGATAGAATACAGCAATTGGAGAGAGAGATTGCCAGGTACAAAGATGACTCTAGCAAGGCCCAGGCAGAAGTTGACCGCCTCTTGGAAATCTTGAAGGAGGTGGAAAATGAGAAGAATGACAAAGATAAGAAGATTGCTGAGTTGGAAAGGTAAGGAAAGGGAAGCTGAAGAGGCACTCTCTACGTTAGAAAGGTTGAAGGATGGTTTTAAAACTATGTACTTTTCGGGACGTATTTTTCCAATATATCTGCCTCTCTGCATTTACTTTATTACCTACATTTTATTCTAAGTCAGTGTAACTTCATTGTTGCAGTCTCTGAACGGCAACACAGAGTGGGAATAGGTTGGGAAGCTATGGACTTCAGCATCATTGACTGGAAAGAGAAAGTATTCACTGATTAAGAAATTAAAGTTTTCTACTGGCTAATTAAGAGAGTGCAGATAGACACTTGCTCTCTAATTATTTATCTGTTTAAGGAAAAAATGAACCTCAAGTTCAAGGAGTTAAAATTTTTAATTGGTTTAGTCCTTTTATGTTGAGCTGTTGCTCTTTTGGGCTGTGAATTTTTAGACTCTGTATTGTGGAGAAGCAAGCTATTGCTTGCTTGGTACATAGGTCAAATTTAGAAGGAGGGACATTTTGAGGACAATTTAGGAGACTTGGATGTGATTTTTTTTTTGATCTCTGACTTCGACTTCTTCAAAATGAGCTTTGTTTAAACAGAACCAGCCAGATAGCTCTCTTGGAATTTTCTTTGCCTTTTTTCTTGTTAGGGTATTTTGTACCAAAGATAAAGCGTATGCCTCTTGGCCTCTTTCTTTACACCATGTATTTAACATAAATTCACAAGTGCATAGAAATAGTTCTTCCAGTAGAACTGCATTAATCACTGTATTCTGAACAGTCAGAGAGACTGGCAGTGACAGAATGAAGTCATTAATCCGTGTGACTCCTCTGAGCCTGATTCATAGAAGTATTTTATTTTCATGCTCTTAAATGTTGGGAAGTAGAAGAATACTTTCAGAAGTTGTTTTACTAAGTTTAGAATTTTTAGGATATTGGTAGACTTGATATTTTCCCCTAGAAGTAGTTTTCTCCTCTTGTTCTCTACCCACGGAATTCTGATTTTCAAAAAACTAAAAGGATAAAGTCCAACCCTCACAATCCTTCGCTAAGTTGAAAGTGTGAATAAATGAGCTGATCACCTACTCATTTGTTTCCTCTTATTTTGATATTAACTCTATTCATGTTTTCTGGTCCGGTTCTGGATAAGATGGGTGGATAAAGTTCTTTAAATCAGAATTAACAAGCTATCAGAGTCTCAAGATTAGCTTATGTATGTTTTTTGTACGTCTTCCCTGTTTGCACTGCACCTTTACCCCCAGCACACGTGCGCGTGCGCACACACATGCACACTCTCTCTCCTTACGTACTCGCATGAGTACATGCCTTTCTCTGCTTTTGTGTCACCCTGAAATCAGCAGCATTACTTCATAGATTTTATTTATTTTTATTTTTTTATTTTTTATCTTTTTTTGAAATCAGACTTTTATTTAAATCTTAACTCCATAGATTTTAAAATATGATACTTCTGATGGATTAGTGACTTCCTACTAAATGTATTTCAATATTTCAGAAAAGAAATTTCTTGATAAAGTTTTATTTTTCAGTTTGATGTTTTTGTATTAGAGCTCTGCATGGAAATTATTGCTTGCTATTCCAGATACCTTGCTTGAAAAATGCTTCAATTCATTTTTGGACCCAATACTGATTTTGGGAGATGGACGTGATTTGAACGAGAGTAAGAAATAGAATTAAATCTATATTTGTATCCAAAGCACACCAGATAGCTTTTATTAGCCACTATATTTCTCACATTTTGGGAAAGAGTTGTAAATGATCTGTTCTTTCCACAGAATATTACTTATAAATTTGAAAAAGTACTATAGAATTTTGTCCTCTGGTCATGTAACATTGTAATCTTATTTTAAGATTCGACACGCAGTTTCTTGGCTACCAAGAAAAGAAACAGTTTTAAAAACTCAGTTGCTACTGGCTTTGTAATTTTTTATTGAGCAGCATAGTTTAAGATGGGAATAAAAGATGATCGGAATTACTTTATGCCTTTTCTTCCCAGATTTTTACTACTGAGCTGTGTATGTGTGGCTGCTGTGTTTCTTACTAACCATTTGCTTCTTATGTTGCTATTCCACTGTTTCCTGTGTGTGGGTGTCTGTCTCCCTGTCATTTATCATCTGAGTTTCTTCACCTTTCTTTTGGCTTGTCTTATCCTGGTCCTATTCCATTGGGGTTTTGATCTCTGTGTCTGTCTGTGTTCATATCCCTCTTGGCCATGCTGTTCCTCAGAAAGCCAGCCTCCCGCACTTTGTACCTTCCGTGCCACGTTTCTGTCCCTGAACCGTCAGGGGGGTTTGTTTGAGACTTCCTGGGAAAGTGAGTGTTAAGTAAGGCTACAGTTCTGTACTAGAGGAGTTGCTGCTGCCATTCTTGCTGCTGTCGGGGCTTGCTGGGGGTTTTGCTTGATCAGAATTAAAGACCAGCCGGTTATATATCCAGTTGAACAGTACCTCTTAGGTCCATTGCTTGTGGATAAAGTATGTGTTCTCTCTGGTAAGATTCTGATATTGTTGGATATAATTGTCTTATTCTTGATTTCTAGCCCATCTTTTATGTGGTGGTTCTTTTGCTGGAGTGCCTTTTTTTTTTAACATCTTTATTGGGGTATAATTGCTTTACAATGGTGTGTTAGTTTCTGCTTTATAACAAAGTGAATCAGTTATACATATACATATGTTCCTATATCTCTTCCCTCTTGCGTCTTCTCCCTCCCTCCCACCCTCCCTATCCCACCCCTCCAGGTGGTCACAAAGCACTGAGCTTGGAGTGCCCTTTAAGTAGTAGCCTCTCAGGCGATGCAGCTGTAGCGCCGCACCCTAATTCAGGCAGTAGCATGCATTTTTACCGGGTGTTCAGCAACCTTCTAAGTGCAAAAATGACAGCAGAATGTTATCATTGCGCTAAAGAAAATTCTTATTATTCTTTTAAAATTTCCTAGTACTTATGTAAGATTCTCCAATATTAATAGGTTTAGATTAAATCACGAAGAATTCCCAGACTTATTCTTTGTGGTCTTGAGAAAAACAAAGTCCCTTACACTGCTCTTCAGAACAATAGTAGTTCCTGTCAGGTGATTTAGTGTTGTACCAGTGTCTTGAGCTACTGCAGTTCTAAAACGAGGATTATGTAGGCCTACCCGTACATCTGAAAATACAAAATGTTTTTCCCAATTAAATCTAAGAAGTACTATTTCTAAATTTATATTCCGTACTATGGTGTGTATCAGTTGCAGTTCAACCAGAGGGGCAGAACCGGTAGGAGAGATAACGTACATATATTTATATATATGTGATATATATATCTCAGATTTATTACAAGGAATTGTCTTGCATGATTGTCAGCAGCTGGCTAAGCAAGTCTGAAATGTGTATGGGAAAGCTGTCAGGAGGAGATCACCTGCAGGATAGAACTCCCGTGAGCATGGGGCACAAGTGTGGTCCACAGGCAGAATTTCTTTTCTTTCCTTGGGAAACCTGCTTTTAGGGCCTTCCAAAGAATTGAGATATGCCCACTTCGATTATCTGGGATAGTAATCTCCTTTACTTAAATGGATTATAGGCTTTACTTATATCCGCAAAATACCTTCATAGTGACCTCTAGATTAGTGTTGGATTAAGTTAACTGGGTGCTGTAGCCTACCCAGGTTGACACTTCAAGAAAGTCATCACCTGGTGGTTCTGGATAGTCTCCACAGATGATTTTAAGGGAGAAAATAATAGTAAAAAACAAACCTAAAGATGGACATGCTATATAAGTAGATTGATTTCGATTAGCATGAGGGACCCAAAATGTAAATTGAATATTTCTCTTCTAAAGTGAGCATATTATAGTTTCTATTTAGATGCATGATGAATAGCCTTTTTTTGGGCATAATGTTTAAAATGTTTAGTAATGTAGGCTGATGAAATTCTGATAGTAGTGTCTTTTCAGACTCCTGAAAGAATTTCTTGTTGTCTGCTCTTTTTCACTCATGCCCCTTTAGCTAAATGCCCACATGCCATGGCAGTATACTGGGAGCGTTATCCCCCGTGCATAATTTTGCTTCTGTATTTGCTTTATTACATTTTCTTTTTTCTTATACAGAAGCACTAATGAATCTGCAGAGTTTGGTGTTTGTATTAGAAATCCTCAATTTACTCTAATGTGAGGTTTATTTAAATTAGATTCAGCATCCCACTTAGAAACTTTTATGTTTGGAGAATGACACCCATCTTCTGATTTTCCACATAATTTAGGTATCAAGGATTGCCTTTGGTTTATGAAAGTTAGGAATTTTCAGTGACATAAAGAATAATGGAATATTATTGTGTGACCTAAATAATTTATAAGAAATTTGGATTTACTATATTTCCTGATTTGTGGGAATATAAAAACTGGAATTTTAATGGATATAGATTCCATTTGGGGTTGTGTTTTGAAATTTGTAAGAGGGATTAAAAGATGAGAAGAAAGGACATGTTTTCTTAGACATGTTTAATCTTTGAAAGCCCTAAAGTTCTTTTTATTCCTTATTCCTTTTACCTGGTTACTCTCCCTTTAAATACGCATCTCTAAAAACACTACTGTTACTAAGATTTGTAGTTATCAAGATCTTGAGAATAGTAGCCAATCTGTGAGTTTAGTTTTTCTCTCCATAACTCACTCTTCTCTTTGCCACAAAATATACCCTTTCCTTCTTCATTAATTAATGAATTAATTTTTCTACTTATGAAGCCTCTTATTTGCTGGTCACTGTTCTGGGCTCTGGGGACACAACAGGGAGCAAAGCAAACAAAATCTCTGCCTTCAAGGAGTTCATCATCTAACCTCAGAAGACCAAAGCTCCAGCAAGGAGCGGACTTTTCATCTGTAGGCTGGCAGAGGCGTTCTTCCACAGCTTGCCAGTACCTAGAAATTTCAGTGAGGAGGTTTCCATTTGCGGTCCGGTTGAGCTCTCCTGGGAAGTAATATTTAACATACTCAATTAATGTGTACCCCAGGATACAGAATTATTATAGAAAAGGGGCTTCT